TACCTATAAACCCTGTATATATGAAGGCCTTTTTGAATTATTTTTTTGTTGTTTTATAAAATCGTATTATTGCTATCGTTTATTAAAAATTTTGTACTTTTTTAAAATACACAAAAATACAAAATGTAAGGAAAAAATAGTTTTCCTCTTCTTGTTCTGCTATTCGGAGCGGGACAAAGCAAAGATCATGCAAATCTGTGCAGCCGTTCTTGAGTGATAAATGGTCTAACTATGCAGACCCTATTTTATATACTACAGATTATGTTTACTGCCTAGTATAGATATTACCAAAAGCAAAAGTAACAATGGACTCATTGCCGTCTTTATGGCAAATACGCGGCATTGTACACGATCGAATAATATACATATTGACTTTGACGTTTCCATCCTATTCATACCCGTTTTTAAGTGTATACATATATCCTTCAATACATATGTATGTATGGATATTGGGGTGGTAAAAAAGAAAGAAATTAAAGTCGAAATTTTTTTGCTCTCACCACCTAAAATTGTTTTATACTGAAGAAATTAAACCCTGTTGTTTTTGAAATCAAAAATTATTTAGAGGTCGCTCAAGGTGTTCTAAGTATGCATGTATTTTATATGGAGAAGGAAAAAGTTTTCATAGAAATGGTATAGCGTTCTTCAAAATCCATATTTTTCGATCGGAAAACTGTGTTTCTCTTCAGGAGAATTGTTCATTTTTTATTTTTTATTATATTATAGGGGACCCATAAACAAACACTAGTATTAAAAAATTATAAAATAAACAATTGGATATTATTACTGGAAGTCTTCTGAAAAGAACTAGATTTCTTCGATCGAAAAATATTGATTTTCAAGAATTATATACCATTTCTAGGAAAGGTTATTTTTCACATGTAAAATACGTAGAAAACTTTGAACGCTTTGAGCGACCTCTAAATAAACTGTTTTTGAGTTCAAACTGAACAAAAGGGGGGTGTAAATAAACTGTTTTTGATTTCAAAATGAACAAAAGGGGGGTGTACATTTTTTCGATATAAAAGAAGAGTGAGAGCGTTAAAATTTCAACTTAATTTTTTTTTTGGATCACCCTAATGAGCACATATATATGTATTTTAGTTAGCAGCTGTTGCGATTAGATTAAGCAAGCTGTTTGATAAAGAGCGAATAGTGATGTGATAACATCAGCCATAATTAATTGGCCTTTTCGAGAAATATTGCAATGGAATTAGTTTCGGCTAAGACGCCGTGCGGGAAGGTGCTATTTTGTTCGTAGCCCTTCAATTTAAATTATTTTCGTATACTTAGTTGCAATTGTTAAGGACAATTAGTTTCGTACGCAATGATTATCACCGCAAAATTGGTGGCAATAGGCTTGGGATTAGCTCTCACTGCATTCACGGTATCAACGATTGTATTAGTTGTGCAAAAGTCGAATTTGCAGAATGAGTTGGATAAGGCACGTGACGAATTGGATCAGTTGCAAACCGCCACTACAGCTGGGCCTGGTACGACCACTGTAACTGCTGGGACTACCACCACTATTGCGACCACTGCTACAACGCCAACAGTTGCTACATCGACAACAACCACTGTGCTGCCGGAGACTACAACCACAGTACCGGAAGTTGTGAGTTGCAACTTTTGCAATTTATTACAGAAATTTATTACTTAATTGACTTTTGTACTCCTGGCTAGATAAACTATAGACTTCCCGACAGCATTTATCCAATCAACTATGATCTTTATCTACATCCTGAAATTGATACGGGTAACTTTACTGGCCAAATATTGATCCGCGTGAACACGACGACAGCTATTAACCAAATCGTGTTGCATGCCAGCAAACTGACTATTAATAATGTCTATCTAAGCGGTACCAATAATCCAACTGTGTTTGTGAAGAACTTCTACCTCGATACGGTACGTGAGTTCTTGGTGGTGGAGTTGAGTGAGGAATTACCAGCAGCGCGGGCTTTCTATGTTGGCATATTGTTCGAGGGTAATATGGATGGGCAAATTGTGGGGCTTTACAGTTCGTCGTACACCAAAGCGGATGGTAGCAAGCAGTGAGCAGCTAAATTAGCTTTGAAGTTTTGATTTATTTCTCAACATTCTATTCAACAGAGTTATTGCCACCTCTAAGTTTGAGCCAACTTATGCGCGTCTTGCCTTCCCCTGTTTCGATGAACCAGCCATGAAAGCCACTTTCCAAACCACTTTGGTATATCCTAAGGCAGGTGGCTACCATGCGCTCTCCAATATGGATATTTCGGTAGGAGAAATGTTGCAGTCTTTCACTTTACTTTCAATATTTTTGTCCTTTAATTTTTTTACACCTTTCAGCGTGAAGCCGATCAGGGTAACTACGTAGAGGTCTTCTTCAATCAGAGCGTGCCGATGAGCACTTACTTGGCCTGTTTTATTGTTTCGGACTTTGCAAACAAATCGACTACGATCAATACAAATGGCATTGGCGAAAACTTTACTTTGCGCGCCTTTGCGACTCCTGAACAACTTGATAAGGTTGATTTTGCGCTGGAAGTTGGCCAAACGGTTATTGAATACTACATTCAGTACTTCCAAGTGGAATATCCATTGCCAAAGTTGGGTAAGCATTGTTGGAACTAATACAAAGAGTTCAAACCGCTTCGATGAACTGTCTTAAAAAAATATATATATATTTCAGACATGGCTGCCATACCAGACTTCGTCTCTGGTGCTATGGAACATTGGGGTTTGGTCACTTATCGTGAAACCACATTGCTTTATGACGAAAATGTCAGCTCAACGGCAAATCGGCAAAATATTGCGAGCGTTATCGCTCATGAATTTGCGCATATGTGGTTCGGGAATTTAGGTAATTTAACTTTAGATTTTATTGATTGCTTAGTTATTGCTGTATTGATAAACTCAGTAATACTAGTTTTATGGATTGCTTTCTAAGTCATAAATTTAATAATTTATCAAAGGACTGGTGGTGCTTTTAGGGCTTATTGAATGGGCATTAACCGGTGTTGTGAAGCTTGTATGCTTATGGACTTACATACATACAGTATTGGCCAATACAATAGCACCCCCATTTCAAAGTGATATTGTTTGTCACTCATGTTTATTTATTTATTTTTAAGAATTTTCAATTAAATAACAGTTCATTCTCTCACAAAACTCACATAAATTCAAGTTTAAAACTTTTTAAAAGACCGCAAAAAGTGCAACGAATTTTCACCCAAATTTCAAACTTTTTTCTCAGAAGCGGTAGAATTTTTTTCAATACACAGTTTTATAGCCCATTCAATTTTAGTCTAATAATGTGCAAGTTTCAAGTGGCTAAAAATTACCGTTGATTTTTTAGAATTTTTTTCGCCGAGGATGTTGCGGGTTTCTGCTATATAAAAATAAATTGTGTTTAGTCGTTATATGGAAGCAAATGAGACAAAAAAAAATTCTAAAAAATCAACGGTAATCTTTAGCGACTTGAAACTTGCACATTATTTGACTAAAATTGAATGCGCTATAAAACTGTGTACTCAAAAAAATTCTAGAGCTGCTGAGAAAAAAGTTTGAAACATATGTTTATATGGGTTTTGTTAGAGAATGAACTGCATTTTAATTGAAAATTCTTAAAAACAAATAAATAAACATAAGTGGCAAACAATATCGCTTTGAAAGGGGGTACTATAGATATGTCCAATACTGTATATGGGTTATACATATGTGTGTGTGTGTACTTCTGTAGGCCCTCAGTGCTATACTATGTATGCACGATTACTTTATATTTTTCTTAACTATTTTGAGCTTTTAATATTTGTGTCTACACTATGTTTAACTGATTAACATATTTTTTCTATAGTCACGATGGCTTGGTGGAACGATTTATGGCTTAATGAGGGTTTTGCGAGCTATATTGAATACATAGGCGTTGAGGCGAAGTTTCCTGAATGGAAAATGGTAAGTAAATTCTTTAAGTTCGTATAAAGTAAGTATTTTAAGAATGTCGAAAAGTCAAATACTTACAAATTGTTGTCAAAAGTTCGTCAAGGCACCGAAGAATGATTTTATTTTGATTTTGTATTAATTTTTTGGATATGAAGAACTTTTTTTTCTGCCCGAATTAAACACTAACACCTTGGATAGCTCTCACACCATATATCGCCCATGATGGCTTCCCTGAAGGAAAGATTGGTCGAAAAATACAATCGCAGTTATAGTAGTTTTGTATCTAGACTAAAGATAGTCCAACAAATTCAAGCAATGTAATGAAAAGTAGTTGAATTGTACTAAAGGTGGTCCGAATGTAATGCAAAAAGTATGAGTTTTTATTTAAAATTGGTTACAAACCGGAAAATCGACCCGAGCCTAGGACACTCAATGTTAAATGTAAATAGAATTTAACATGTGCATGGACCAAACTTTGAACTACTTACATTCACCTACAGTCTAGTTTGTGGTGTGCTCTAAGTCTAGTGTTAGATCCTACAGGGTTATTTACGTACTACTTATTTAATCCTACCAATATCTGGAATAATATACATATAGGATATTTTTCAAAAGTTAAGTCAATTAATTAAAAGGTAAAAAAAATATTTAAAAAAATGTGGCTTTCAAATGCATGAAGAGTTCAATAACGAGTTGCATAAAAAAAAAAATTTAAGAGGGTTAACAGCTATTCAAAAAGTGTAAGTCAATTTATATACAAAATAAATTAAATATTTTAATATGGGTCACGAACATATTTTTGTCGAGGGTTGCCGCCGGTTTAGAAATTCGAATTTAATTTAATTTGTTAAACGAAGTATTTTTTAAAATAAGTTTTAAAGATACTTTATATCGAAAATATTTTTTCAAGAGATTTGCCACCTGGTTAGATATTAAAATTGAAAAGTTAAATGAAATATTTTGATACGAGTGTCAAACAAGAAGAAAGCTTTTCTTTTTATTATTATTATTTTTGATCAAACAGATTACCACGTTACCTTTACATCACCATATCCAACCAGGAAAATACTAAATATGATCGCAAAAAATTTGTTAAAAATTTTAATGTTTCAACAATAGTTTTTATTATTATGTTTATATCTGTTACAGTCCTTTCTGTATCGCATTTTCTGAATTGTTTATAAATAATTAGTTAGTTTCATCGCTTCTATATTTATGTACATACATTATATATCATATATGTATATATCGTATATCTTATGTAGCTATTAATTTGAATTTATGTATGTACATGTTTATGTGAACAGTTTTTTCTAATCCACACTCTAATTTTAGCGCGACCAATTTATCACCGGTACTCTGCATACCGTCCTCTCTTTGGATGCCACACTCGGTTCCCATCCGATTATACAAACTGTAGCGAATCCCGATCAAATTACTGAAATATTTGATACCATCACCTACTCGAAGGGTTCATCCATTATCCGGATGTTGGAAGATTTTATTGGCGCTGAAAACTTTCAAAAGGCTGTTACGAATTACTTGAATGAGTACAAATATAGTAATGCTGTGACCGATAACTTTTTAACAGAAATTGACAAATTAAATTTGGGCATTGATGTAAAATCGATTATGAATACTTGGACGGAACAAATGGGTTTACCAGTAGTCGAGGTGGAAGAATTAAGCGATACAAGATTTAGACTTACACAAAGACGTTTCTTCTCCAATCCGGATGATTACGAAGGCATCTACGATGATTCACCGTTTAAGTGAGTGGTGAAATTGAAAGCACAAAATCAAACGGTAAACATTTAAAGCATTTATTTAATTAATTTTTATTTTCCAGTTATACTTGGTCAATACCGATTACTTACAAGACAAATGCAACGGTTGATGAGACGAGAGCTTGGTTCTACTATAATCAAACCGAATGTAGGGCATATGCGATTTTGTATTCACTACAAATACGTATAAATTGATAAAATGTAATTAATTTCAATTACAGTAATTATTGAATTGACAACTGCACCTGAATGGATTAAATTCAATTACGATCAGATTGGCTACTATCGTGTTAACTATCCTGAAACTTTGTGGCTAAAGTTAGCGAATCAACTTATAACGGAACCTACTGTAAGTTCAACAAATGTGTTTTTATTTTTATATTCTGATCGCATAACGATCGTTTGTGACGGCCTAAAGAAATCGAGATAATATAGACATTATGAACATAGAATTCGATTAAGCGATGATTTTCTGCCCACCCGTGCCTACGATAACTCGAGCAAAAACTGAGCTATCTACCAAAGGTGGGTTAATATTGAAAACGGGCTGAATTGGATAAAAACCAGGCCCACCTCCACTTTAACTGCATATTTGAAAGAGTCAAACACTTCCAAAAAAACATCCAAAATTTTAATAACGAACAATTTTAAGGAATTGAAGTTTTACAAAATAATTCTGGCAACTGCTTGAAAAAACCATTTGCTCATTGTTCTATTTGATCCTGAACTAAATTTGAAGTTGACTTAACAATTTAAAAACATTCAGAACTTTTTTCAATTGCTCTCCTAGTGAGAGAAGCGCAACAACGACAACAACGAGGAACTACATAGATATGAGAGAATTCTGGATTCTGTAACTGTGAGAAAATGCAGTGTACACCGAGTGCAAAACTCACAACAAAAAAACACAGAACAATGCTGCGAGTTTTTCGACAGAGAAATGTATTTTGAGGGTTAAAACTTATTCTAACACTTGCTGAATCGCAAAATGAGAAGTGTACACAATTTTCAGTGTACTCTTTAAAACCGACAGTTACAGAATCCAGCCCCTGCATAATACTGATTTAAGAAATTTTGATAGAAGAATATTTCTTTTCCATTTATTGTGCGTCATTTTGTGTATACGCATTTTTCGCTTTTGCTGAGAGCTGCAGACAGCCCTTAAAACAATAAAAATATACTTTTTTGAATAATATAAAATACATATCTAATAGTTAAAAGAAAAAATTAGAGATAATTTCAAATCCTATGAAATTAAAAAAAGTCTAACTAATAAAATTGAAAATATTACATTAAAAAAAAAAAACAAAAATAAATAAATTTAAAGTTATGTGTCCTCAACAGTGCTTTATTGGCTAATTTTTTTTTTCAAAAATAATAATGTCATCAATGCATAAAATGAACCATAACATTATATTAACTATATTCGAGATAGCCGCTATGCACGAAACATTTTGATAGTTTGTCTAAAATTGGGAAACGAAAACATCAACTCACAGAGGCGGGTGACATCGTTGTCGCACCCGTCCCTCTAGGGAAACCGAAAATCTCTTGTGTATATTATATATTTAAGTTTTGTTATTTATTAGTTTCGTGTTAAACTGATATCGGAATTCAGATGTTAACGGCTTGAAACTGGTCAAATTAAGGGTTAAAGAGCAATGAATTAAAGTATAAAGTTTGAGGAAAATATAGTTCAAATGTCCCACGCGTCACAATGACTAAACCGCAAACAAAAAAAAAACAAATTAAACCACAAAATTGTATTACGCTAAAAATCCCATAATGAGTCATAAAATCCGATGAGCCCTTTTATGGTGCGAAAATCCCAAATTAAGGGAGTTGGCAATACTGATTATCTATCTTATTCTATCAAAAGAGCTTTCAATCATGAGAGTTGACTTTTTTGTGCCGGAATATGGTGAGGCTAAATTTTATGAGATCCTTCTAAACCGATTTTTTCTACGATACCACGCATTGAAGTTTTACTCCTCCGTGCTGAACTATTAAAAGTCTCTGAGGAATATTGTCAGGCAAGTTACGTCATCAAAGACTATAGACACAAGGTGCCGCAAACTGCTCTTAACAATTTTCAGCGATACTCTGCATTTTTCGCCCCATAATTTTTGCTGTATGTACGAAACGATGTTTCGCGCCGTTCTCGAAGCTCGAAGAGTACATATTTTGATGCCACGGTTGCTAAGATATTCGACAGGACGTGCCTTTTAATCACCTTTCATTAGACCATGCATCTTAGAACAATCCTCACCCAGGCAGCTTGAAAATGGCAAAAGCAATACCAATTGAGGTTAGGGTTTCACTAATTTCCCATTTAGCAACGAGCTATTAAAGAATTTCAATACTACAATGCTGCATTACACCGATCCGTGCTGCCCGGATGAAACCAATGCCCAACTAGATACAGTGGCAGAATTTATAACATGCATTCTTCAAGTAGAATGTTGTAGAAACGAGCTGTAACTATACAATGTTGAACTGGGTGTAACGCTCAGCAGACATGCGGCTCCCAGAACGATCTCGAAAAAAATTCTGGGTCACTGTAGTGTTGTCCTGGTTTGGGTACTGGAGTATTGTAAAATCTCATATACTATTTCAGTGACAGAGGAGGCAAAGTGTTAAAAGACGGATTTCGCAAAATTGCACAGCGACTGGTTGCCTTTTCTAAACCGAGATTTTTTAAGAAAGGCAAAGTTTGATAGGTTGGCGCTGGATAATAATTGATTTTAAAGACCAAAATTGGCCATAATATATTTTAATTAAATAGCCAATGCTGTCGCTGGACAGACTGCTTTAGTAATGGTTTAATTCTCTAGTGGCTGTGCGGGTCTTAGAAAGTAAAATCTTGATTTTATTAAGCCATGCTAGAATTAGCAAAACTATTCTTAGTAAGAATTCACCAAGAAAGCTCCTAAGATACA